ACCCATGAACAACTGATGAAAGAGTATGCCCATCTGTTCAACGGAATTGGCACTCTCAAAAATTTTGAAGTTAAATTGCACATTGATGATACTGTCCCTCCAGTAGCACAAACCCCCCGTCGTATTCCTTTCCACATGCGGCAAAAGGTCTCAGATGCGCGCGACACGTTAGAAAGTGATGGAATTATTGAAAAAGTATCAGATGCCACTCCTTGGGTCAGTCCATTAGTTGTTATCCCAAAGAAAGATGGTGAGATCAGGCTATGCATTGACATGCGCATGGCTAATCAGGCAATTCAACGCGAAAGACATCCGACCCCAACTGTGGATGATTTAATTCACAAATTAAACGGCGCCACCATATTTACAAAGCTTGATCTTCGCTCGGGATACCACCAGTTATCTCTCGCTGAGGAAAGTCGACACATAACCACATTTGTAACGCACAAAGGACTCTACCGCTATAAGAAGTTGAATTTTGGCACCAATTCGGCAAGTGGAATCTTCCAACATGTAATTAGCGAACAAATCCGTGACATTCCGAATGCCATCAACATTAGTGATGACATAATTATCTTTGGCATAACCCAAGCTGAGCATGACAAAGCTCTTCATGAAATTTTTGAGCGGTTTTCACTCATTGGATTAACCTTCAACAAAGACAAATGTGAGTTCAGTCAATCGCAGCTCACATTTTTTGGTTTTGTCTTCTCAGGTGATGGCATTTCACCAGATCCAGCGAAGGTTTCAGCGATTCACAACTGCCCACCTCCAAATTCAATTAAAGCTGTTCGGAGTTTCCTTGGGATGGTGACATATTGTGCGAAATTTATCCCTAATTTCAGTGATCTCACAGAGCCTTTGCGAGAATTAACGAGAAAAAATGTGCCTTTTTGCTGGATATCTAGGCATGCTAAATCCTTCAACGCAGTAAAAGCTGCCCTCACAAGTGCAACAGTTATGGCATATTTTGATCAAACCAAGGAAACAGAACTTATCACTGATGCATCACCTTTTGGTCTCTCAGCTATTCTGACACAGAAAGTCCCAGGATCAGACCAACAAAACGTTGTTGCATATATCAGTCGTTCGCTGTCGGATGTTGAGAGACGATACTGTCAAACAGAGCGAGAAGCTCTTGCAATTGTGTGGGCAATTGAACGTTTACATATCTATCTATACGGAGGACATTTTACTCTGATAACTGATTGCAAACCAGTCGAGTTGATTTTAAATAATCCACAATCAAGACCTCCAGCCAGAATTGAGAGATGGAATTTACGCTTGCAAGATTATGACTTTAATGTAAGGTATACAAAGGGACTTGACAATCCATCAGATTTCCTATCTCGACATTTACCTGTTAACACCACCACTGATGACAGACAGTTCCAAACAATGGCTGACAATTATGTTTGTTTCCTTACCCAACATGCTGTGCCAAGAGCAATGACTCTGCCTGAAATACAACAAGCCACCATGGCTGATTCAACATTACAGATCCTAAGCAACCTCATCACAACAGGTAAATGGCATTTAATAGACTCTCTAGACGTACAATCCAATCCCAATGTAAAGGTTTTGGACTTGAAAGCATGTGAGAAAATTAAAACAGAACTTACACTAAACGAGCATGATTGAATTATATTACGAGGCTCGCGAATTGTGCTTCCAGAAAGCCTTACACTAAAGGCTGTTCAAATTGCTCATGAAGGCCACCAAGGGCTAGTAAAAACTAAACAGTTGTTGCGAGAAAAGGTTTGGTATCCAGGTATAGACAAGCTTGCTAAGCACACAGTGGATACTTGTTTGTTATGTCAGGCAAATGGACCAAACAGTCACCAAGAACCACTGCGAATGACGACGCTGCCTCCCCAACCCTGGCATACAGTGAACATTGATTTTTGTGGACCATTTCTAGGTGGTTCATATCTGTTAGTGATTATTGATGCATATTCACGATTTCCCGAGGTGGAAATTGTAAGTTCAACATCTGCAAAATCAACAATATTGAAACTTGAACGAATTTTTGCCACACATGGTATTCCAAAGGTGTTAAAGAGTGATAACGGTCCACCATTCCAGAGCCATGAATTTAGTCTGTACTTGAAAGAACTTGGCATTAAACATAAACCAAGCTCACCATTATGGCCCCAAGGAAATGGACAAGCCGAGAACTTTATGAAACCACTTGTAAAGGCTGTGAAATCTGCCCATCATGAAAACAAAGACTGGAAACGTGAAATGTTTAAATTTTTGCTCAACTACAGAGCTACCCCACATTCCACCACTGGCAAGTCACCGTCCGAGTTGCTATACAACCGTAAGATTCAAACAAAATTACCTCAAGTGACAGTCGAAAATGATTCTTCACTTCATCAAGAGGTGAAGGAGAGAGATGAAAGGTTGAAAAAGAACCAAAAAGAATATGCTGATTCCAAAAGAAGAGTTAAGTGTGCTGACATCAAGAAAAGTGATTTAGTTTTGGTGCGGCAACCGAAAGCAAATAAAATGTCCACAAAATACGATCCAATACCATATGAAGTCACAAATCGCCGTGGGAACAGAATCACAGCAATTAGGAATGGGAAATATATAACTCGGAACATTTCGTTCTTTAAAAAGTATCACCCCAGACATGGCAGATCGTTGGAGTCAACAGAGATAATGGATGAAGAAAATTATTCCTCAGATGAAGATGTCCACGAAGAGCATGAACAGTATGATGGACTGAGACAGAATGATCGTCCGCGGCAGAACAATGGTCGGAGACAAGATGATGGTCCGAGATATCCGGCAAGAGAAAGACAGCGGGTGTACAGATATGGAAATAACATTTATGATTGACCTGGACTAAAACAGATAAGATACAGTTTAAACATTATATGCATATTTTGTTATAGTTAGTACTAGAGTTCATATTTAAATCAAGGGAGGGATGCAATGTTGACATTATTGACACTAGCACACACGTGACTAGAAAGTTAGTTAAGTATTTTTAGAAGCACGAGGCTAGGGAACCGGGAAGTAATTGGATACGTACTATGCTGTTTGTACAAGTTGTTTGATATCTATTGTTATACTTAAAAGTGCTTAATATTGATACAAAACCACGAACATTACACTGTGCAGTTGGGCATGATACTTTTGACATAAAATTGAGAAGGCGAAAGAGAGAATGTGCTTAGTAAAACAGATAAAATTATTAAAATTATATTTTACGTTACTAGGTTAAGAATATTAAACGTAGTTTCATCCTTTACCCACACTTTTATATACGACCATTTAGAAACAGGGCCAGATTAACGTTCCGCGGGGCCCGTGGCATAATATCAGCGCGGGGCCCCTTGACCGCCACCCCCCACATCGCCCAACGGCATTTTAGACACTGAATTCAGTAAGATTAAAAAATATTCTTTGTATTTCATGCGTTGTAAAGTTTCCTGTGTGTTAAAAAAGAAAAAAAGAAACTGAAATTCAATCCAGTTTATACAATTACCATTATTATTATTTACAGAGGAAAATAGCTAAACATGATAGCATCCATATAAACTTCCGACGTCTTCCACAACATTCAGCAATCTTATAGTATTCAGAAGAAGAACTGCGAATTTTGAAATTTTCTGACCCCTGTCATTTTTTTGGCCTCACTTTTTGGAGTCCCTTGTCCAAAGAAGGAACAAAAAAATTTTTCCGGCCCTGCTTTTGAAGCCTCGCGTTTTTATATTTTGGGGCTCCGTTTTTGGGAGCCTTGGACTCTTTGGGGTCCCGCGTTGTTTGGATTCCGCGCTGAAACAGGGGGGAAACACGTTTGGGGCCCCGCTCTTTGGGGCCTCGATTTTTAAATTTTGGGGAAACGCATGAAATCCCCTGGGTGTGATGGGGCCAGACGTTTTCTTGGAACCTTGGGCCCTTTGGGGCCCCGCGCTGAAACACTGAACAAAAAAAAAGTTTACGTTTTCTGGGGACCTTGGGCCCCCGCGCTGAAACACTGCAACAGGGAACAAAAAAAACGTTTGGAGGCCCTGCTTTTTGGTGCCAAAAATTTAAAATTTAATTTAAATTAAATTTAATTTAAATTTAATTTGGGGCTTCGCGTTTTCTGGGGGACTTGGGCTCTTTGGGGCCCCACGCTGAAACACTGCAACAGGGAAAACAAAAAACGTCTGGAGGCCCTGCTTTTTGGTGCCAAAAATTTAAATTTAATTTAAATTAAATTTAAATTAAATTTAATTTGGGGCCTCGCGTTTTCTGGGGGACTTGGGCTCTTTCAGGGGCCCCGCGCTGAAACACCGCCTGTTTGGACCCCGCAAAATTGACGGACATGACGTGTTGCCTGAGTCCATCATTAACCCCATTAAAACGACCGCCATTGTCTGAGTGACCTTACCAGCGTAATGGCACATTTAAATTCCTAGAAATAAGAACCAGTTAAGAACCAACTCTAGCCTCGTTGCTCACTAACTACCTATTATAATAGCCTGCTCCCATGCAGTCTCACGACATCGATCAAACGATGCAAGAGACTGCGAAACAATGAAGCAAACGCGGAAGTGAAGTTATTATAAAAATATATGCGTAATTACAGTCACATTGGCAATATGGCAATATCTAAACCTTTTTGTGTGACAAGGCATCCAAAATGTCTGGAGACTCCCGAGTTATTTGTTGGGAATTATCAAAAGCAACAGATGCTATTGTCGTTGGTAATAACGCGAAACGGAGTCACAAATTGGAATATTTTTTCCCTGGCAAACCTGGAAAAGTTTGGGGCAAGCTTTGCTTCACTGTTGCGCAGCCTCTTACATGTCATGAGAATGTGCGCATGCTACTATTAAATACGAACTTTAGCGTGATATAAAAAAGTTGTTCTTTTACAGTATGTGGGTTTTTACTGTACTACATATCATTCACTTATCTTGTATTAACCCATACCGACCAACTTCAATTTTGACGTCGCCATGTTTGACACAACCACCTTGACCAGGTTTAGGTGCTTGAAGACTACCAAGTTTACGGTCGGACGCTAGTTGTGGGTTGCGGGCCAAGGTAAGGGCGAGGAACCATCTGGCACGAGCTTGAGCAGAACATGTCCATTTTCGTTCCCTGTTGTGTCCTTTAATACAATAATAATAATTGTTATTTATTTAAAAGATTCGTGGTTTCTGATTGTCTTATTGTCTTATTGTCGATTTCAGGTAACTTTTCAACACGCTGTTCCCAATTTCGTTGCGAACTTGTCAATTACGTTATCAAGTTCGGAAGTTGGGCGTGAACTTCGCAACGAAGTTCGCAAGTTCATTTCAAAGTTCGAACTCGATATGAGAAATTCATATTCAAAAATCACATTACAGAATATATTAATACAATTAAATATACAGAAAACTACAGCAAATATAACAAAATATATGAAACAGGTATATGGGATAAGGTAAGAATCAAAAGTACTGTCAATGTTTGCTTTTGACAGGCAAAGACAGATAAAGTTGAACATAGGAAAAACGTTCATTAATGCCATAGGGGTGGCAATCTTTTGCGGCTATAGCCTATCGTTTGCGCATTTCATGTCTTTTGCGGCTATATATATCGTTGCTATCGAGCTCTTTGTCCCATTTCTGGAAGTAACGATAGCCGCATTTGACAACTTGTGAAAGAAGAAATTCGACGTTAATTTGAACAAGTTTACTTAATAATACCTAATTACTAATATAAAGTAAGAAAATCAAATATACGATTCGCCATTAACATTTCTATACTGTAAATTGCCAATACTTACGTGTTTCATCGCTCAATATTTGACAGAAAACTCGAAGAACAGGGTTTCTGTAAGCTGTTTGTACGTGAAGATAACAGATGTACGCATTGAAACCTTTCAAAGAGACAAAATAATGTTAGCCAAAAAGACAGCAGCCTATAATTAAAAACAGTAAAATTATAGTTTTACAGTTGGTGTGTTACGCCCAAGGCATAGACCAAGTCATGGCCACTGACATGAAATAGTCTTTAGTCCATAGATATCTTATATACACTAGATAGTGCATCTAATTATTCTGCAATTCAAAAATTGAAGCCGTGATTGCAGACTCAGGATATTCCCATGAAATGAGAAGACTCGTATGTTTTCTATTTCTTAAACAGGGAACTTAAACATTAAGTTAAACCTATTCCACAACATTTTCAAACTATTCAAATGATGAAAGTTATTGTTGGTTTTTAAGCGTTTATTAGCGAGTGGGAAACTTCAACATGGCCGCCATCTATTCAAATGGGGGTAACCGCTGGAATATTCTTGGCTTCAATTTTACTACTAAAAGAGATGCGCTATCTAGTGTATATAATATACCTATGCTTTAGTCTAGCCCGTCTTTTGTATATCACAAGGCCGGATTTTGGTGGAAATGGTGGGGAGGTGGAAAAATTCAGTGGGGGGTGGCGGTGCAGCGGTCAAGCTCACGGCCCATGGAATGCTCCAGCTAATCCCTTACAAAAGTTCGTTACCTCCATCAAGCCGTTGAAAACCATCCGGCATTAAGCTGTGATCAATTCTTGGTAACATCAGAGCTCCCACAGCCATTGTCTTCAAGATTCGAAACATGGCGGAGAAGAAACCCATGGGAAGTCCCAAGAAAAACCAGAAATACGAGAACACCAAGTAGACGTTTCTGGAAAAAATTTGATGTTTTACAGTAGGTAGTCTATAATGGAACTGAGGGGTGTATCACTCCGAGGCAGTGGTGCCTAAATTACTTTGAATTTGTACTCGAGTAAAAGTAACTAACAATAAAACGACTTAAGTAAGGGTAAAAAGTACAAAACGTACTTAAAAAATACTTGAAACAAAAAGTAAATGTAGTATTGTCTGTAGCGTGTAGGGAGCGGAGGGATTCCCCAATACAAAAGACACAAAACAGCACACGCATTATATGCGCGCACCTATAATATACCTATAATATAAAATATTTCGCGCCATGATCTACATTCCAGACCCCGTTGAAGATATAAGAAAATTATATTAATAATATAATTAAATATTAATAATGCTTATAAGTAAGCCACAAACGAGAGATCCTAGACGCATGTAGAGGTCCTATTACCTACCCAAAATTAAAATAAATCCCGGAAAAATCACGTAAAATTAAACAAAAGTCAGAAAGTTACGCCACAAAATGAAAATAACGAAGTAAAACGTTCCTTCTTGAAACGACTTCGTTCCAAGTAAAAGTACTCCAGAAAAAGTTTATACTTTGTTACAGACATGCTGACTTCCCAAAAATAGTACTCAAGTTATTACTTGACACCACTGCAAGTCCAAGGGGTGTAAAAATCAGTGGGATTTTTAGGGAATATTTGGGATTTTTCGGGACTTTTAGTGATGGTTAAAGGATTGTTGAAATTTTTAGAGATTTTTCTCTAGGTGTACGAGATCTTTGGGAGTAAGGCCCCATTTACATGAGACCGGAGTGAAATCAAACCGGGACCAGTTCGTTTCGGTCATAGTACTATTTATAATAAATAGATAGATAGATAGATAGATAGATAGACAGATAGGTTTAGCAAGAAAACACATTGCAGCCGAGTACGAGTGTACAACTGGATTGCGTGTTACTTTACAACAATGGTAATTATGAGAATAAGTTTATCTAAAAAAAGTATATAAAAGGAAGTTACAAAATATCTTAAAGATGTTTATATGAGACCGCGGGACGAAAATAACTCAGACAGGTCTCAAGTCATTTCGCCTGCTGGACCGAGCCGACTGACTTCAGACCGGCATGAATTCAGACCGGGATGAA